CTGTCAAGTTCCTTCAATTGACAATTTTGGTAATGCTCAGGTGATCAGGGTGTTTTGGTCAAATTTTGCTGTACATTGCTTGAGAATGCTCATTTCCATCTTGGATGAGTATTATTTAAGCTAAGTATCCCAGATGACTACTCAGATTCATTTCACAAGTCACTGCATACTCAGGACAGTTCAGAACATTGTCCAAAATCCTGGATAAGCAGGCCCAAGGTATGCTGCAGAGGATCAGTTCAGCAGATGAGATGAAGTGAGCAGATAGGCCACCCCTCCCCCAGGCTTCTTTGCTAAGCACTGAAGCCTGAGGAAGTCGTAGTTTACCTGATCAGTTCTTGTTTTGCTCAAATTTTGCTGTACATTGCTGGAGGATGCTCATTTTCTTCTTGGATGAGAATGATTTGAGCTCAGTCTCTCAAATGTATACTCAGAATCAGTTCATGAGTCACTGTATACTCAGAAAAGCTCAGAACCTTATCCAAAGCCTGGATCAGCAGGCTCCAAGGCATGCTGCTGTGGATCAGCTGAGTGGCTGAGATGAAGTGAGCCAATGAGCTAGTCCTCCCTCAGGCTTCTACTCTAAGCCGCTCAGTTGCTATTTCTCATGTAATCAGCTAACAAGCAGGGAGCAAAGGGGGAGAAACATGAAAGAATTGGTAAGTAAAATCGAACAAACATTGAAATAAAAAAGGAAATTTCAATGCTCACCCCAATCTGAGCATCTGTTTTTGCCCCTGTGATCAACACCTGAAGTGCTCCGCTCTGCCTCACTTTTAAGCAATTTTTCTGATGTGGGATGTCTTGCTGCTACATGTTGAACCTGCCATTGTCCTGCTGCATGTTCAGACCCAACACATGACTAGCCAAGTGGTGCGCTTTTTGAACCCACTCTTTCTCTGCTTCCATATTTTTACAGCCAAGCAAGCAGGCCAAGGCAAAAGGTACAGCAGTTTCAAGAAGCCTTGTCACAAATTTGTTGAGCTAGGGGCCCAAGCTTGGTGATCAAGAATTGTTAATTAAAATTGGTGCCAAAGAAAAACCACAGTCAGAAAATAATTGAGAAGGGTTGGTGCAAGTGCTACTCACAAGAAATATCCAAGGCCCAAGGTGCCTAGTGAGCCTAGTGTGATTTGAAAGCCTCCAATCCACCATCACCGCCACATTCCCCTTTCCTCAGCACCACACAATGAATCAAGGAAACTTGTGAGTTCAAATTCAATTCACATCCGTCTGATCAAGTCTCTTGACATCTACTTTCTCTAGTGCAATGGCAAACAACTGACTTAGATTTGAATGCATCATTCATTCTTATAAAAACCTCAAGTTTGTCTACTTTATCAAAAATCACTTCAACAATTGGTGCAATATTGAGCTTTCTTTGCTAAGACTGTACAAATTAATGTTTGGACTGTTTCTAAATCCACTTCTATTGACCATGGTGAAAGGATCATTTGTATATATCATTCTTGCTTATGAAAACTTGACTTCATCCAAAATCACTTTAGAAATCAGTTCAGTATTGGGATGCCTTTGCTAATGTTGTACAAAAATTGTTTGAACAAACAAGGTTTTTACAAGTGAGAGGTTTATCAAGAATTTGAATTGAAACAGATTTATTAATGTTCCTTTTGAGGAGAATTTTTTGAGAAGCTAAACTACAGCCATTCCGATATTGCTTGTCGCACCCTTTTGAAAAGAAAAAGTTTGTGAGCTCAAAGCCTAAGTTTTCACCGGTTAAAACCTGAAGTTTGGCTGTATTGCCTTGAATTACAGCTGAGTTTGAAGTTTTATCAAGTAAAAACTTGGGTTTCAACTTTTTCTTTTTCGAAATGGAGCGACAAGCAATATCAGAATGGCTGTACAATTGTAGAAAACTGTTTAAACAAGGTTTTATACAAGTGAGGTGTTCATTGAAAATTGGAAGTCTTTAAGATCAGGAATTAAATTTCTTAAAATTAGCCAATTAATTTCAATGACAACTTCAATTTGGATTTGGATTTATGTGAGTAAGAAATTGGTATTTGGTAAATTTGTTTGTTGAAGTAAACAGATGATGATGAGACTGATCAATTATTTGATTTTGATCAATAACTTGATTTTGAATGTTTCATTTGTCACTTTGAAAGGTGGGGTGCAGTGACCAGAGGGGTCACAGGAAAGGATTGGGGTTGATTGGGTAAGTTTGGCAATTGAAGATAAGATCAAGGGGTCAAAAGAACTTCCCAAATACAGTTTACGTCATCCAAAAGTGCTGTGACCTCAATAAGTGTTGTTTGTCAAGGACTTGGCTTGTCAAAAAGTGGAGGGTATGATAGGTTGCAAGTGTTGGACAGGTATTTGTTCTTGTCCTATGTATCCATGTTGGTTTGCAGGCATCCAATCTTGATATGAGAGATCTATGAGAGTGTTGGCTGTTGATATACTGCCAAATCCGCTACATGCCGCTCTGGGCAAGGGCTGCAGGGTGTATATGTAAATTGCCCCATCAATTTAAAACCCCACTACAACCCCAATAGGGGTTGAGCAGTGGCGGGACGCTTTGACCAGTTACAAAAAAAATCCCAGAGTGGTGGGTTGCCCCACCACCGTGTTTTGCAGTGGATTAGTTCAGGTGTTGCTGTAATATATGTAGGGGTATGCTCCACAGATATTCTGCAGGTTGTGACAGTTTAGTTTTACCCAGCTTGGTCATATATACCTGGAAAGGGCACTAAATGTTCAATTCTTATCAACAACAATCAACAGTGTTCATGAAGCTCCCTTGCTCTGAGTTGTTGTCAACACTGACAGTCAAACACCACCTGGTAAGCAAGTCTGTGCCACACGATGTGTTGGTTTCAGTGTGGTGCACGCTGCATTCGGAAGCAGCAAATTGCTTCAAAGAAGGTGAAAATGGCCTGGGTCTTAGCTTTGCATCAAAAATCAATGCAACAGCTGCATACCACTAAGCTGCAGCAAAACTTACCAAAATGCTATGCTGCATGTTGCAGCGCACCTTTGTGCAGTGTTATTGAGCTTGCAAATTGGGACCTTGACAGGTTTCTGCACTTTGGATGAAACACCAGGCAAGTGATGTCAATCAAGTGTTGTCTGAAAGAGTCAAGTGTAGTACACACTCATGGCTTTTTGCAGATTATCTAATTCATGTTCCAGACTAATCATGACAGTACCTCCGAACACTTGATGCAATAGCAACCATTTGAAGTAAAGGGCCTTGTGTGAGAATAATCCAGTGCGACCAGATCAATTCTTTGCCTACATCAGTGTGAGGTAGATCAAGTACTTACATCAATATGTACTTGTATCATCAAAACATTCCACGATGTCTGTTGCTTCACCAATAGTTGTAGTCTTCCAACTGACTAGCTCATTTGGTGGGCTGAAAGGCACCTTGCAAAAGATTTGAAAGAGCTGGCCAGAAGTATGTGAAATTTATGATTACTGACACAGAGCTTCACTATCCATAGTTGTATACATAGCAGTGCAACCAGTCCACAAAACTGCAACACCGCGCTGCTCAGCAGCAACAAGCGTTGTTGACCCATTGCTGAATCAAAGGATTGCCATGTGTCGCAGTCGACCACTTTGACCGTTATATTTCATGTAGTTGCCCTTGTGCCCGATGACTGGAGTAACTGAGTATGTACAGCCCTTTGCGGAATTGATGACTTTGGAAAAAGAGAAAACACTTGAGTTTTCAAAAAAACCTGCGAGTTTTTTTCAAAAACTCATCCATTTTTTCAAAAACTGAGCGAGCTCTTTCTCTTTTAGACTTACTGAGCCAGGTTTCCAAAAAAAACTCACTGACTTTTTGAAAAACTCAGCAGCTTTTTGACAAAACTCAAGGTTTTTTATTTGAAAACTCAATGTTTTTTTTCCTTCAAAGTCATCAATTATGCAAAGGGCTGTATCCTCTTGCACTTTATACTTAGAAGATTTGTAAGATTTCCCTTTTGAGGGGCAAAGGGCGCGCCTGATGCGCCTCAGTGGCGCTGGCGAGCCTCGGAAAGCCATTTTTGTGCGCCTGGGCGCGCCCACAACATCAGAGCTGTGATTCGTCAGCCATGCCATGGCTTTTATCGCTTCTAGAATCTAGACGCTTCGTGGGTCCAAACATTTTCACCTAACTATTTGCACGTTCTCGACTCCAAGTGTTTCCTGTTTGCACATCCGCTTCCTCAAGTATGTCAGATGCAGACACTGAGACCGATTTGATGGGACGATCACCATCATTTTCATCCTATGTGGGCATCTCCACCGATAAAGGATAGGCTGTCTGTATATTTGGTGTCCAAGACGTGACTTGGCGGGCTCTTTCAATTGATTTTCTCAACACTCGATATGTGTACAAATCTGGTTAATCGTTCCAGCCGGATCCAAAATTATACCCCAAATATCTCGGGTGTTAAGTGAGTTAAATTGCTGGAAGGGCGTCTCGATTTATGTACACTTTCATCCGGATCTGGTCGAAAATCGGAACCCGAAACCCTCTTGATATCTTTATGATTGATGAGAGAACTACGGCATAAACGCCGTCCAATCATATACAATGGGGTCCCCATGGTCCCACAACTTCGTGCTCGATGACCAGACAACCAAGTGAAGGTCTTAATTTACGTTTGGAACTGATTGGAGAAAGATTAAAAGTCTATCTTCTAATTTCCTCTATCGAGTTCAATAGGAGCTTATTGTACCACAAAAGTCATTTGCTGGTGGCGATTTATGTAATTTTAATTGCTCGATGCTTCGATGTCGGAGTAGTTCGATTCCAAAACTTCGTGTTGAACCTCGCATCTGAGGGATGGAAAGGAATCACTATGTTGCGACGTTACTTCTGTAATGCTATTTCTTGCTGTTGTTCATTTGAAGAGTGTGATCTCAAAAATCCAAAATCTAGTAAGCGATGATGATTGCAATGTCTCTGTGCTTTTACAATGAATCCTCAATCAATAATTTGCTGAACTTAACAGACTCCACCCAGCGCTTTTTGGCGAGTCATGAGAGCAAGCACGAACCAAGTCGAAAGATCACGAGGAGGTTTACTCAATAGTCCTACTTGTCGACGTCTGATGTCTTTACCAATATGGGGTGGACGATGGTCATATTTTCTTGTCGAAACCGATCCGGGCGACGAGTTGGCCTGTATCGATGCATTTCAATATGATGCGAGTCGAGAAACGAGGGATTTGGTTTTAGGTCGATTGCTTCCTACGCATCAAGCAGTTTCTGATAGCTTGGAAGACATGCTTGCGATTCTGAGTGTGCATGTTGAGAGCTTCAACACAATCAAATCTTGTGAAAGTGATCTTGTAGTGATGGAACATCAAATGGAAGATACGATGGTTAGCGACTGGGTTCGCATTCTCAACTCAGTTCACTCTGATGCCAAAGCTGTTCTAGCTGCGTGGAATCGACAAGAGCGCGACTTGATCTATGAAGAGCTTATGACAATGACCGAACTATCCCCCATCACACGTTGGTACATCAATCAAAATATTCGGGCGATCACGAAACAAGAGGATCGTTGGCGCAAAGGGGTCACAATGAACCTATCCGAAAGACTCCTCTTCTGGTTCTGGAATCTATTTATGCTTCTCGGGTGCATCATTCCAGACACGATCAACTTTCTTGTACACGCTTTAGTGGCTGTGATGCGTTCATTGCCTAATAGGCCTCAACGTTTGATGATGATATTGTCAATTGTAGATTTCCCCTTTGCGGATGAAAGACTGGCTAGGTCTTGCCTCGTCCAACACTTCATAGGTCTTTTGATCAGTGATATATTCGGTCTCAAAGCTACTTTTGATGAAAACTTTCGATACACCGGTTTTAAGAACATCAAAGGATTATGGTGGAAAGGCCTTTTGACCGTTCTCTGGAATTTGATAGCTCACAATCGGAAAAGACTATCCGATGTTTTCTTCAAGCTTTCGATTAAACATCAAACTGTTTCGAGCACGACGATTGAAACCATCGCCCTCAAATTCCGACGCTTACGACGTTGTAACTCTTACAGCTTCTCGTGGTTCGAGACTTATAAGCAAAGTCATCGGTTTAGAATGCAAATTAGTTATCATAAACAAGACCAGGAAGATATCGTACGTGCATTGAAATGGACTGGTCGCTTCAAATATCGAGTTAGATCTAGTGAGGATCTCTTTGGAAAGTTTACCATTTGGATTGCTACCATTATCATTGGTTGTTCGATTTGCGCATCAACTTTTCCGATTAATGCTTATGCGGCCTTGACACCTTTAACTTATTATTCAAATATTATAGTCTGGATGGGATTAGATGTCTTAAATCGATCACAAAGTTATCTAGATGTATTACGATTCTTTACCATCAATGTAGGTTCAATGTTTCCCGCTATCACAATCTTGATCATCAACTTGGGATGGTGGATAGCGAATCGCAGAGCACTCTTCACTTACTTAAACCGTCCTTTTTGGATTAGTTTTGGAGTTATGTTTGTGGCTAGTTTGTACGCTAAATTCTATGGTGAAATGTTTAAATCGTTTGGTCTTTGGATTCGTAAGATGTTTATAAAACCTAGTAAACCATCCACCAGTATTAATACGATAGAGTTAAAGTGTTAGAATCCCTCTCTTGCCTGTCTTTCTCTTATATGCTCACATGATATACATTCTTTATACTATGATAGGATATTCATTACATTTACGATTGTATCACCATTGATCACTTGTAAAATCTGTTCACGTTTCAAACAATTTCAATTCCAAGAGTTGTTCAGTCAATTTAGACTCAATTGATGCAGCAGAATTTTCTGAGCTGGTGCATGATCGAGAGGCTTTTGCTGTGCCATAGATTTCCCTCACCACGCCGAGGGATTTAGTTCTTCTACGCACTGGAGACCGTCTCGATATGGCTTGGCCCACTTTGTAGGGCTCGCGTATTGGCCCAGGTAGCACTCGGACCGACTGACCAAGTATTCCCCATCTGATTGGGTCATGTTTCTAACAATTCTAGTACTCGGGCTACAATCAGGCTGATTGCGTGAGTTGATTACAGTGGTAATAGCTTCGGATGAAGCATAAGTGTATGGACTCATTCTGGACAATCAGCAATGGCCAAGGGTGTGAAAGATGGTTATAAAGCATTTGGATTACATATCTGTCTTGACAATGAATAAGCGCACACTTTGCTGGGTATGCTAAAAGGTTGAGATCAAACACATGGATATACAGTCAACTCTGAAATAACCCATACCCCTTGTAACACATACTCTGGCCTAACCCATGCCTTTTTTGGTCCATAATTTCCACTTTTTAGCCCAGAAGACCATTGTGATAACACATACTCTATGAAAACCCATACCTTTTGGGTTCCATAAAAAGGTATGGGTTATTTCAGAGACAACTGTACTGTCAGATTTTCACTTTCAAAACGTCGACCGATGTTTGACCAGTAGCTTTTACAAAGCTGTGCTGCGGTATGTAGCAACTGTGAGCAAGATGGGCGTCGATTCTGTTTTCTGGGTGAATGGGGTAACCTTCCTTCATATAAGATTGACACAATACTTAAATACATACCTATAATTACATCGAAGCTTATTTGGATGCTGGACTTTTATTACGTACACATACTTACGAGTAATTTTGCCCTTGAAAAAGATTCCATCTTTCACCCCTCCGGGTGCATATCTAATAAGCCCCATAGACAAGTCATATACCGATATTTACACCCAGCTTAGTTATGGCATCTGTGGTCAAGAGCCGTACGGTGACAGTGAGTGAATATTTCAGCCCTTATATTACTTTTGCTAAAAAGTTTGGCCCGATCGAGAAAAAATAAAACAGAATAGACCCAGAATCCGCCGCAGCAGTCACAACGCAGCAGAGAGAAAAAATTTTGGGGTGCTGTGGGCTGTGGTGTGAGCTCCCTTCCATCCCATCGATTTCCCAGCTGCCGCCAAAAAAATCATATTCTTCAAATCCCGGTCGATCACTTCCTTTTCCTCATTAAAAAGCTCAATTGTTTAGAATGGATGAACCGTCATTTGAGAAGATTGTCATTGTACATATAGGAATTAGATTAATGAATTCTAGATAAAATCGGTGTCAAAATTGAAATCGTTTCAATCTTCTTCATAGGATTCCGAGCAAATCGATCAGTTTTGATCTTGTTAAAAAAGATAGTCTCTAGATTACATAAGAGACCTGAGATTGTCCACAATCTCTTCCATAGGAACAAAGGATGGTTGATTGGTTTTTACCGATCAAAAGCAGTTGATGTTTGGATTTTGAATCTCTTCAAGAAAACAGAGATCAATCTCGTTCATAGACCATTGATCATAGGACTGTTTCGTGAGTCATAGGAGATTCTCGATCGAGAATTGACTGGTTTTGATATTGTTCATAACCAGTCAATGATATTGATAATCTCAATCACCTTGAAAACTGGCACACACTTCAAATATCTTTCATAGGATATTCAATCTCAGACTTTTGTTATGCATCAGAGCTCGGCACTGGATAGGTTGATGATATGTAAGATACATCTCATTCCACTTGCCCTTTTTCTTGGATTAGCACAGTAGTTGTGAGCTCCATAAAAGCTTCAACAACATTCCTTAAGTTCATTTGTTAACAAATGCTCGTTATCAACATAGGAGGAACCATTTAAAAAGTTTCACACAACAGATGATCCGTTCGAGCGGATTTGACCTATTGACTACAACTTGTGATCTCCAAACACCAAAGTTCGACACATTGACTCCAAACTTGACAGTGTTCAACTCGGGACTGTATGGGTAAGTATGGGAGAAGGATACCTAGAGATGATATTGGGGATAATCAGTAAGTTGAATGAAATGCACCAAACGGAGAAATGGGAGGAATTGAAGTGATAAAGTGTACCTTATTTCTTACAAAGATCATCAATCAATTGTCCACCATGGATGGACACGTTTCCAGGATGCGAGAAGCAGCGAGTGTCGTAGTTGAGTTTAGTGACGAAAAGGAAGTGATCGACCGGGATTTCGAGAATATGGTTTTTTGGCGGCAGCTGGGAAATCGATGGGATGGAAGAGAGCTCACTCCACAGCCCCCAGCACCCCAAAATTTTTTCTCTCTGCTGCGTTGTGACTGCTGCGGCGGATTCTGGGTCTACATTCTGTTTTATTTTTTCTCAATCGGGCCAAGCTTTTTAGCAAAAGTAATACGATGTTAATCATATCATACCGATCGCTTCAGCTCTTCTTTCATTTTGAACTCTATTCATCTGATCCTGCTAGACCTACGGTACATTTGAATATCTCCATGAGCTGTTAAAAGCCGAGACGCAGGATGGTATTATTGCCAATATCATACTAGACAATCATCACCATCATCACCCACATCGTAACCCACAAGATCGTGATGATAACGATATACCGAAGTGTCCTCATGAATTTACCCTGCGCAGACGAAAAAAAGTACTGGCGATGGCCAGGGGGCTGACGAAAAAGTCACACTTGCTCGAAGAGGACGAACTGGTGGTCCATCTGGGGGATTCAGTGCTCGCAATGTATTCCGAATGGAACATGAAGTGGGAGGTCAGTCTAAATCATCACCGGAGCGACTAGTTCTTATCATTGAGGTGACATTCATGTCCATGGCGATTGCTTCTTTACACAATTCGGTTATCATACAGTTTCATGTCGATTGCGAAAGCAAACCTCGGGTCATGATCGGACAGGCGACCACTGTCACTCCGCACAGCGGCTCAGCAAAATGGAAGACTATCACTGTGGGACGATGGATGGAGATAAAAAAATTACTCGAAGCACCAGGTGCTAATGTGAGTATGCATCCTACACACGCGAATCTGCTGGAACGCTGAGTCATTGAAGCGACTTGCTATGCCAGTGGAAACTTCACTTCAAAGTAGTGTGGTTCTGTGAAGACCCCGTGTCACTGCTGAATAGTGCTCAGCGCGAGTTGACTGATCTGCAGATAGCGTTGACGCAAGCCGGCACCACATTGTTTGAAACGTCTAAACGTCCCTCCATTGATATCACACATTTGGTCTTTCGATCAAAACGCAGTGGAAAGACCAAGCATTTGTATGTTCAAAGTAATATACTTACAAAGTTTGAATACTTCCAGAAATGTGCGTGAAAAGCCATCCATTCGATGCTATGTGTTTGACCAACTTAGCTGACTGGCGTGTCTTTGGAATACCCAGGCCACTCAGCAGAATATTCTGAGACCCAACCCGCGGATGACTCTCAGCTCAAGATGAAAGGCTGCTCAGTAGAAGATTCCGAGAGTCAAAAAGTTGATGGATCACAGCTCAGCGCGGATCAGACAGGGAATAACGAAGGGGTATATTGGGATGATTCCGATGACGGATGGGATAGTGACTCAGATAATGCTGAACCAGAAGAGGTGCTTATATTTACATCTTGAAATTTTCTTCGAAAATCCTGATGAATCAGTTGACGGGTCAAGTGAAACTGATCTATGACGTCAGAACGATACTTTCAAAGCAACCATCCATGTCACGGACACCTCGTCAGTGATGCTATCTTCGTGTAAATCATCCTGATGAAGCATACTTATCATAACATTCTTAGTCGACAAACGTATCGAGCATTTATCAACTATGCAAGCACTGGAAACAGGTCAGTGGGGATAATATTCAACACCCAACATGCTTTCACTGTCGTGTTCTATCCTGCAAATCTGATCGCCTTCCATCAACTTAGAGCTCTGTATTTTGCACCTCTGCGTTCTGCATACACCAAATACTGCAACACATTTTATCCCAGTCTGACTTCAAGGACTGTGCGATTGACCCAAGGGCGGCGTACCCCTTGGCCTGAGTGGGCCGAAAGCCATTGTACTCCTCATGGCGTGGTACCAGGTTTCAAAATGCTCTCCAGCCCGAAGAGTCTGTACCGCCTTGCCGATAGTAAGTAAATCTTGACATCATGCGGTTGAATTTGACCCCTAAGAGCTTTATCAAGGATTTCTCATGCAGATTACTTTTATGAAATGAAGTGTTGATCATTCCAGAACTTAAAGCTATATGCTACAAGCAAATCATTGACTCCTTGGATGTGAGATATGTGATCTCTGAGATAGACAGTTCAGTTTTCCAGGAGCACGAAGAATTGCGTGTGGCAGCTTATAAGTTCATGCGGAAAAACTGGAAGTCGTACGAAACCAAGGATATTGCTTCCTTTATCAAAAATCTATCACAAGAGGAGGCGGAGCTTGTTTCAGAACACATACTGAAGAATCTTACTCCTTGAAATAAAATTTTATACTCTTATATTTGTGAAAGTTCTTTCGTTGATTCATATTGAGATTATGGCATGGTATGACTTTGTGTGACATATACGAGTAATGCTTTTCTCATGATGTAGTGATTCAATATCGTTGTAAGTATATGGGGCCTAAGAAGTAGAACTTGTAGTTTACTTTTCTCTTTCTCTTCACTGACTTTTTCCTATCACTGAAAGAAGCTTTGCTCTTATAGTCACTATATGATTGGTGTGCCACTGTAATGAACAACAAGATCATTTCTCATAGTCAGGTAATTATATTTTGCTCTTGTGATGATGATGAAATGATTGATACCAACTCTTTCCCATCACTACAAGCAGCTTTTCTCGTTTGGTCACTGTGATCTATCTACCATCAAAGTCACTGACAAGCTATTTCCCTCATTGGTAACCATCAGGTGTCGTCATATTACAACAACATTGACACCACCCTCCTCATGAAGTTATGATACAAAATGTGAAATTGTGCACCCAGATGACCTGTTCTTTTGAATTCCTGGTATCCAAGATTGTAGCTGCATGAATGAAAGCGATCAGATAGAAGTCACTTTGAGGAAAAAGTCTATAAGAAGATTGGATGTAGGATTGATCCCTAGGTATTTATGATTACACGATCTTTGAAGTTCAATTCCTGGTTGCAGTGACCGGATGTCATGATGGGAATCTTGGTTTCGTCAGGCAAGCTTCGAGTCAAGGTAATGGGCTTCTTTTTCTTGTATTGGCGATGCGTCAAATTGTTGTAAGGCCCATTCTACGATTTGCTAGCAATTTTAAGAGATCAGTAAAACATCAGTATCAGACTCAGATCCATTGATTCAAATTTGCAAGACTCACAGAAGTTGGATCATATAGATATCGTCTCCACCTTCACTCGCTTCTGGTCAATTTCGTCAACTTCTGTCTTAGCCATAACTCGTTTCGTTTGATCGAGTTGCGTGTCAACGTCTGTGATACAGTGGCTTACCGACTCCAACTTCACAGGTTTGCTATCAACTTGCTGAGCTGAACTGCTACTTGTTTGGGTGAGTTTATTGGGGGAATACAATATTTGCTCATCATCATCGTCATCATCGAGTAGAATTGGGTTTTCGTAACTCGAAAAGGATTTGGTAGGTTGTTTGTCATCACACAGATCAATGACCAATGATTTGCTAGCGCTTGTCTTTGGTTTGACTTCAGGCTTAGTTTCCTGGCGAGTCAAATCGGATGAAGGTCCAGATTGGGACGTGAGCCGAGGCGGAGATTGCAGTTGGATATCTGGCAGTGGTAGTGGACTGACGGTTGGAGGAATGAAGCCGGCACTGATCAGCATACCTAACATAATTTCAAAAAATCAGTTTGAAAACTATATTCAAGACAGATAAAAGAATATCAAAGGAGCCAGTAGAGTATTCAAGCTTACTGCGAGACCTATACTTCCACACGAATCGCAGATAAGGCGTGGAATGGACCTCGCGAGTGCTATAAGCTATTGAGGATCGGTTTATCGGTGCACTAGTCGATTGTCCGAGGCTACAAGGAAACATCAAGTCAGCAAGCTTCGAGCGATAAAATATAAATGACAGCTACAGATCTAAATCATAAGGCTGAGCAGGAAGGACTAACCCAATGATATGTGGAATCATACTAGCTTGCTTGTTCCGTTCAGAGAGCTTGCTTGTTGATGCGAGAGATGGAACGAAACCATTATTGCTTGGTCTCTGTGGACCCAAGGTACAACGGAAAAATTCTACAGACACCGTGCCCAGGTTTTTAGCAATTTGCTCTGGATGACTGTCATCTTCCTCTACGAAAAGCACCCAAAACATAGATAATCAGTCAGCTCAGGGTTGCAAGGTCAATTAGAAGAGAAAGAAGCTGACCAGAAAGTTCAATCTTTGAAAACTTGAACGGCATCAATTTAGTATCATCCCCTGGTAAATAGATCCCGTGAAAGGTTGATTCAAACGAACAAACATGGCGAGGGTATACAAAGCTAGAAATCAAGACTCCATCACAATAAAGTCTCACTATACAATCATAATGTGACTTTGGTCCTGAGAGCTTAACCTGAAAGGTTTGGTCTGGTGTTGATTCACAAAAGACGGTGAAGGGCCAGTTTGCTGGATTGGTATACTCAGTTAAAGGAATCCCATTGCAAATGAGATTCGCTTGGACGTCATTCGACTGTGGCATGATATAGATTAGTCTTCTTCAGAGTTGATCTAACGATACCTGGTTGTAGAAATGTGCTTGTGACTTGTTGAGAAGAGGATACAGGACGAGCTTCATTTCATGACCATCCTCGTTCTTATATATATCATCCGTAGCAGATGATCAGCAACTGTTTGACGAAATTTTGACAAAGGGTCTGGATGAAATGTACGTACTAGGGATTGTAGTGATGTGGTTACGCGACTGCGGTCAACATCCATCCAGCGCTGCCGTCACAAAACTTCTGACAAAACTCCAATTAAGCCAGATTCGATGCGGAAGTTTCATGGTCGGCACAACAGAATTTAATATTCACCAAACCAGGCACTCGAGTGGATTAACGAGGAGATCACACGAGGAGATTGCAGTATCGACGCTATCACCAAGAAAACGCTGAAAAGTGAATTGCACGTTAACCATACTGACTCAGACCATCTTTGCTTCCATTAAATTACTCTTCACAAGCTTAGGTTTATTCTTTATATTTCGATCATTTTCATTTCTACTTTCTTTTCTGATTCTCAGTTTCTGTGTAAATACCATTTATTACAATTCATTAACTCTCACGTAAATAGTCTACGTTGGTTCTGAGACCGCTAGCTATATAGCCTAACACAATCTTTAAGCTACATGGCTGGTTTGGGGGGGGGCCGGTAGGCCGTGGGTCTGCAAACCGTGTAGGCTCTCTGCGTGGTCGGGTGTAGGGGTGCGTGGGGAGGCAAAAGAAAAATTGAATGAGGTGTCGAACGAACTATTACCTCTTGAAGAAAATGTCGAATTTGTGCTGTGAAGATGGGATGAGTGGGGAAATTTTCTCTACTGGAAAATTTCCCTCTCTGCGTACCCATGTCCTAGTGGTACGACATCGGTTCTTTCGGGTTCTGTCTCGGTACTCCTCCTTCGAGTACCGAGGACCTTTTTGTTTTTGCTCACCCCGTATTTTGATGGAACTAAACAGGTGCCGTCGTGCCTTTGGGCACCTGTTACATTGATGTACGGCATCTGAAGACTGGCAGAGGTTGTGATTCAATTTGTTGAGACTCGGAGGAGGCGAGTTTTCAAAGAGGAAACAAGCTGTCTCAAAATAAAGGAAGCCTTCTTTCAAAAGGCCAAACAGGGTATACATATGAAGACTGTCATGGCATGGATACATAAGCCGTTGTCTCAAAACCGAACGCACAATACAATCCAACTGAGACCATATATATAGAGATAAAATATTGAAATCCTCACCAGATATTCAAGAAGTGTAGCAGAATCTTCTGGAGTTCACAGAATATGGAGGTTCTTTTTGTGTACCTCACCACATCGAAGGATTGAGTCCTTCTATGAGCTCAGGGTCATCACGATATTGTTTAGCCCACTCTGTGAAGCCCCCGCGGAGTACAATAATTTGTTGAGCCTCGTCACGGCATCGAGCCTCAGGCCCGAAAGGAAGTGACGATTTGATCAAACCCTGTTGATTTCCATTGAAATCACCGATGATTGATTGTCAGCGTGGTCAATGATGCCTTGGTATCGGAGGCTGGTATGTAAGTTTCTACCCACCTTTTCGAGACATTCTTCCCTCATCACAGCGTAGGTATTGGCAGCACTAGGACCCCTTTGCTCTATTGATGCAGATACAGAATAGAAATTGTCGACCCAAGAAACTCATGTCAGGAAGACTTGAAATCATATCAGTTCAACATCAAGCATCTGGAGATTACGCGTACGTGATAATGCACAGTGGAAAAAAACGTGCGGGATATCTTTCAAACGTTCGATAAGAGAGCGACACTCTTCTCGAAAAACTATAGACGCAACATGATGACACCCAGGGATGTGACCACCCTGATGGAAAACAAGATGATCCGAAGCCGACCAAACACAATAAGAGGTCGTCAGTAGCAGGTTTTGTGAGGCGATCGATGCACCTTCTTGATTCGAATCTGACTGACCAAGAAATCATCATCTGATTCGGTCAAAGAATCAAAATCAATTCTTCTTGTACTCATACTACAATCTGGCTAATTGCCTTAAAAGAGGATGCATACCTCTCACATCTACCACTGCCCCTACACAAATGACCAACCAAAACCGAAAGTAAAACGAACAGGGGTATATATGAGTGAATGTATGGAGATTAGTTGAACTACATGAGATTCCTACAATCCTTGTTCACTGTTCCAGATTTGATCAGAGCCGCAATAACTTGAGGTGAAGCATAAGTATATAGACTCATTCTGAGCAATGACATCGATATCGTGATGACCAATCAACTAATCCCGATGGCAAGAGATGACGCATCGGATTTTGACTCCAAACTTCAAAGCCCTTTCTCGATATTAGCATATATCGACATGTGTATGTATGTATGTTATGTGATGGTGGATGGGGCGACCCGCCCTGCGCCTGAAAGCTGACCTGCCCTGACGCGCCTGATTCCATCTGCACTTCATTTTTGTATGAAAGGCAACAAAAGGCAACAAAAGGCAACCTTTCCGTTTTCATAACACTTCACTACCCTTTGGTATCATGTCAGAGACACGCACGATAACAGTGAGTCGAATTCCGCATACGAATCACTGATCGTACTCATGAGTACTGACATCTTGAGCTCTGCTTTCCTTCCCAACCTGACAGACTCGCGGGCAATTTCATAATGTCACTGATCATCTAAGGTCGGATGGGTATACTAGTGTTGCCGTGATCACTTCGGAAGACAATTGTCCTCATCAATTTAAGCTCTGCACGCGAAAACCTGCGACGACAGTGCCAACGATGGCATCGCCAATATTCGGTGGAATAGGATCTGTTGAAGGAGAATTGGTCGTCCATCTAAGTGATACGGTGTAAGGTTTCACTATCCTTCACTCGAATACTAAGAACGGGACACTGTGAAAGACACAGCAAAGGGTTTTCTATAACCCAAGAGACCTGATCTAAATTTCAATACCAACAGGAACTCGTCTGGTTCCGAAGGATAGAGGGCAGGGATCAGTCCCGATATCTCTCAGCAATCCTACAACATATAATGAATGAAACAATGAAATGAAATAAGGACTTTACCTGGTTCCGAAGGATAGAGGGCAGGGATCAGTCCCGATATCTCTAAGGAACCAGAATCCAGAAAAGAATGAAAATAGAATATATATATAAGTCTTAAGTGGTTTAAGTGTAAGTATTAAATATTAATAGTAAGTAGTCTTATGAGGTTGTGTAATGACCGTAGGTCTTACATACGGTGCACAAAATGTATTCCGATTGGACCATGACATGGGAGGTTAGCTCAAGCCACCAAGTGATCACCCAAATTTCGATATTGACGTTGGGTTCTTGCGCGCGAATCAATACCTTGACATAATGCGGGCATCGTTCAGTTTAGGACTCAGTCATCTGGACTTTTCGGGATTGATTCAGGAAGATTTCAGGTGATAAGTCAGGTTACTGTCTCTCCATACAGCGACCCACTCGCATGGAAGACTATTGTCTTGGGCAAACCGCAGACAGTGCTTGCGAATTATCCTCCTAATGTAAGTACGCATGACGCACGCGAATCCAAGTAGAGCATTGAACCTTTGCCACGACATGCGATTCCAGGGCAAACTGTACTTCATTGCAACTTGGTCCCGTCAAGGACAATCATCTGAATTGCAGAGTACGCAACGCGAGTTGGATGAGCTGAAAAAAGCAATGACACAAATGCGCACCTCGATGTTTGAAACTTTCAACCGCCCCTTGATTGAAATTACTCATTTGGTCTTTCGCTCAAAACGCAGTGGGGTATCCAAACATTTGTATGTTCCGAGTCATGTCCTTGAAAAATATGAATACTTTCAAAGATGTCAGTACAAAGTATTTCATTACGTGCTATGTGGTTACCCAACGTGCCTGACTGTCATTTTGTGACTCTATCCAGGCCATTCAGCAGAATACTCTGAGACCGAATGTGGGCATGAATCACAGCGTGAAGCAAATCAGACAGGAAGCCTGAGTGAAGGTTTGTACAGCGACGATTCCTGTCAGCCCCGAGCCCTATTACTAGTACCAAAGGGCTGCCCAAATAACTATAAAATAACAAAAATAATAATTACAACTCATGGCTCAGTTTCAAGAGCCAAGTACATATGTAATTACATATAGTTACATATGAAATTACATATGTACATACATGTAGATGTAACCTTTTGGTTATATTATGTAAGATTGCCTTTCACAAGTGCGTATCACAGGAGTAACACAAGAGTTACACCCGTGCGTAATCAGATAATAATTAAATAATTAAAATTCATGATTACATACGTCAAATGAGTATGTAATCAAACCACAAGTTGTACATAAAGGATTCTCAGGGTTTTGAGTATATAAAGAGCTCTCTGACCCGCCAGGAAAATCCATCATCATCATTACATATCATCAAATTATCAGTAAACATCATCAATCAGATAAATAAGAGTCCTTGTCCTCTTTCATTAGACATTGTATATTTCTCTAATTGATCATTGCTTTTGTTATTTGTAGAAGTTCTTTTGAAGACTTCTTCCAGGAGGTGATCCTTGCAGTACTGCTCAAGTTATTAAGGGAATTCAATAACTTGAGAAACTCTAAATTCACGGGAGTTCCTCTGTGTTCAGAGTTTAAAGAACTTTAAATATCACTAGGTGATATTTCCCTTGTGTAATAAACTCTAGAGTAGAGTGTTATTAGCTTGGGCACGAAACTAGACTGTAGTTTCTACTCTTATTCCTGCTAGAAGACTCCTGTCTTGCATTAATTCCCGGATTGATATCCAAACCCTCTGTTAAGAGGTCATCTAACTGAAGTCAGTGCGGATTTGATCCCACTGCTTCTTTTATAACATTATTTAAAACTTTAAATAAGTTTCCCACGCTAATAATAAACTCAGTTTATTATTCTCATCCTTTTCTTTAGTGACTTACTAGCCTGAAAGACGCTAGTAGCTCACAATTTGGGGGCCTCATCGTGTTTTTTGAACCCTTTATATTTTTTTTTTGAGTTGTTATCTCAATCTTTTTTCATAGAAAACTAAAAACAAAAACATATCAGTTTTATTTTATATCTACATTTTTTTTTTGACCTGTTTTACTTGAAAACTGAGTGAGCTCAGCATTTTTCAAAATCAGGAGAATAGGTTGGAGGAAAGAAATAAATCATTTCCCCCCTCCAATTTTCGCATTTTTTTTTATTTTTTTTATTATTTTCAATTGTTTGGATCATTAGTTGATCCAATATATTTGAATTACATATTGAACAGGGTTGTGTTGCATAAATAAACACCTGTAAGCCACCTTTTTGATATTGTAATTGGCCTGCACGCGCCAATTACAATTACATATACAGTCAGGTGACTTGTATACATATACACAAGTAATCCCAACAAGCCCCGCGCGTGGTCCGACAGCCACAACGCTACAGTACTCTACTGCACTTCGACATTCAAGATCTCGAAGGCTGCAGCTCAGCAACCCTCAACCCACACATCACTCAATCAAAGATCCCGCCGTCTATTCGACATCACTGTCGAATCCTTTCGAACTCGCAGTCGGTGTTGATTGTTCCACGAGTTGTGGCTTCCCGCTACGAACTCCAGGAGCATTCGTCCCGCTTCGAAAGCCGCCACAACCGATAAAACACCATTCGATCGAGCCGATCACCGCCGCTTATTCGATCTAAAGACAAACGCCTTTCGTCGTCGAATCCACCAGACGGACAGATATTGCTTTCTTCTAATACAAAGTAAGCTGTTGATTGGATCTTTCCATATACATTCCACATCAAGAATAAATTAAACTTACTGTTTGTTTATTTAGTTCTTTGTTTAGTTCTTTCTTCAATCGAACAACGATTATATTCTTTTTATAACCGCGATCGCGTTCCTTTTGTTTTTGATTTTCTCTCGTATCGACTGAAAAGCACGCAAGATCTCTTCGTTCTTGTTCTTCATCGATTAAACCGATCCGTTCAAGAATCGAGCTTTTCGATCGTTTCTTTATCTTATTTTGGTTCAAGTCCTCTATTGTTTTCACTTATACTTTCAGGAAGGGAGTCATAAAATTCCCTCAGCTTGTCTAGAACAGAAGGATTAACGTGATACTATCTTTTCAGTTCTTAGTTTTAATCGATTAGTTAAATCGTATTCAGTTCTCTCTTCTTAAAAGATTTGTCGTAATCGAAGACGGTAGATTACAAACGTTACAAGTAAGTCTATCACAGCTAGTTTGTTAATTACAAGTAATAGCTAATCATTGGTTTTGATTTCATCTTCTGGGTGTTTTTTGTCTAAACAAATTATCTAGAAATCTAATCGATCTTCCTTAAGCTCAATCAAGTTCATCTTACTTTTCTTGCTCTATAAGAATCAAGTAGTCTCTGAAGAGTAAGTTCTTATTGACTACTGATTGTTGCTACCTAAATTGTTTAGCTGGTAAGGCAGTGTCAAACACTAACAAAAAGTTTTTGTCTTGTGTTTTGTTCATTTTTCCATTTCTTTCTTTTCTCTTTATCTTGACCTTCAAGTGGAAGGGCAGGGTATTGAATTAGAACTACCCGAGATCGAAGAAGCCGATCTAGAAGGTAACGGTACGAGATTCAAATCGGTCTCTCAGCGCATTTCCGACCGTAGCGATACGGAATCAAGACGATCAGCGTCACCTACGCCATACGCCGAGTCGATCTTCCCTGGAACTACTCCAGGAAGATCACCCGAGCGCTTCCAGAGCGAGCACCCCGCTAACCTCCAACGTCGTACTGTCGCCACCGAACCGAAGTTCGTGTACACAACCGCACGTTTTTCGGAAGCTCCAAGTAAGTGATAATTACTTTATTTAGATTGATTTTTATTCTTTTGGCTTTGTTTTCTCTGTTTAAACAATGTCTGACAAACGAACTTCATCTGTTCGTAGCCGGACCGAACCAAGTCGCTACGGGAACCTCGTCAAGGACTCAGGACGAGCCGATGGCCGAAGGATCGAACCAAAGGCAGGTCCCTCAGGACAAAGGGAAGGGTCCCGAGGTAGTAGCAAGAGCTCCACAGGAGCCTCGCAACCTGGTAAGCCATTATCAATTCCTCCACCTATTTTACCTGGCAGCTTACCTTTGTCCTCTGAAACTTTAGACGCTGGAGGAGCTGTCCAGGGAAGCGAAGTACCAGGAAGTCTGGCAGAAGCTCAAGCTGGCCTATCTCGAATGGGAAGTAGGCCGAGCGATGGACGACTCGGATCCGACCAAGCTCAGGCTATGCAAGGAATCCGTCTTCCGATCCAGGAAGAACTGGCAAGTTCTGACCAGGGAGTATTATCTGGACGACAAGAAGATCATGGATTGGCTTCGACCCTCCTTCAAGAACGGGACAGTGAACTGGAACCCGAACGATCTCTCCATCAAGGGCTTCTTTCTGAGAAGCGAGGAGAATCAAGCTCCAGCGGCTACCTCTCGGCCTCAAGCGACCACGGAGGACCGACCCCAAAAGCGCTCCAAGCATTTCCACAACGACAATCGTCACCGATCGGATCGCGAAGACGCGAGAGCTTATGTGAGAGCTCAGGTAATGATGGGTCAAACCCTCCTCCAAGAGGAGGGTTCCAACAGCTCCAATCGACGCCGAGGCAAGTACAATCGTCGAAACAAGTGAAAAAAGAAAATGTAAGTCTTCTTAATACTCAAGAAAGGTCTATTATTCATAAGTTTTCTGAGCTAACAAAAAATGACTTTGCTTTACCTATGTTAGATGAAATGGCTAAGAACTTCAAACAAGTTCATCACAGATTCAATGAATTGGATAAGGTAGATAGGATTTTTGAGGATCATTTTTTAACTAGTAGCTCAAATATGGAGCAAATTTTTAATAAGGTTGATGTAGTTTCTCAATTAAGTAGAAAATATATTCAAAATATTTATGAAGTAGTTGACAGAATAGATCAAAAGATTTTCAGTGAGGGCTCTCCCTTTATCTCTGCGTTAGATTCTTTCAAAAAATTTTTAAATGAAAATAAAAAATTATCTGTTTCCACTTCTTTTTCTAAATTGTCTCCAATGTCAAATGAAAAATTTTCTTCTACTGTCCCAAACCTTGAGAGTACAGAACCAAAGAGTGAGAATCATAAAGTCTTCATGACTATATTGAAACACATGCATGATCAACTTTTTGAATCAATGAAAAATGTTTTAAGTGAGAAATTCGAAACTTTTGAAAAAGAATTGACAACCTTGAGTAATATTCTTGAAGAAAATCAGAAATTAGCTTTTGATGAAAAGGAACAACTTGAAAACATACAGAGAGTTCAATCCAATAATATTGAGAATATTATAATCAAGCAAACTGAGCAAGAGAAGTATTTAGATTCAAGGTTTAACAGACTTGAAAAGATGATTATTGACATGAATAACAATAACAATAAGGACAAAACTTCTCTTGTGGAAGAGTTCCATCAACTTCGAGAGTCCACTCGAGCAGGTCCTAAAGTTGAATCCTTAGTGAATAACTTTGAAAGACTGAGAGTGTCCAATAGAAGTACGCAGAGAGATAATAGACCTCCCTCAAGGATGGCACCTCCGCATATGCAAAACTTGAATGAATTCGAAACTTCACCTATTCAAGATAGAAATAGAGTTCAGTATAATGAACAAAGTTTTGTAACTGAAAGACCTCCACGTAGAGAGAGTTCAATTGTTGAACTTCAAACTACTGAAGCTTTACAAGAGGCAGCAGTGAGAAAAGAAGTTTTACGAAACTTTCCCAACGTTAAAGACTGGCCCGAGTTTAACGGTGAAGGTGAATATAACCACCAAGAATTCATTGACTGGGTGGATCAGGTACGAACTACTATGAACCCACCAGATGTTTTAATAACATCTAAATTACCTTTGGTTTTCAAAGGAACCGCTCGACAATGGATTTTAGCCGTAATAAAAGAAGACACCCCATATAATAAAACATGGGACGAATGGAAAGAAGCCATCCAGGCCAGATTTGGAAATGCTCAGTGGAAGAATAAAATGGAAAGAGCATTCATGGCTGATTATTTTAAACTTGAAAATGCTCATGAATGTGTTCAATGGGCTAACAAGCAACTTGTAAGAATCACGGCATTTCAACCTGAAGCTACTAGTAGTGAAATGGTAGACAAACTGTTGTGGAGAGTCCCAGCCGCTATCAGAATTCCGGTAAGAAACAGGATTGGTGTAGATGGTAAATGGACTGCGTTCATTCTTGCATTTGAGGAGATCAGCAAGGATATTCCTCAACCTAGGAAGTCCTTACCATTTAAAAACACCTTGGTCCGGAATAATGATACTCCAAAACAAAGCAGCAGTACAAAAGTACAAGCTCCTACAAGCGTTAGAAAGACAGCTCGAGCATGTAACAACTGTGGTAGTACGGATCCAACTCATGTATGGAAAACATGCAAAGGGAAAGGTAAAGCAATCAACAATGTTGACGCTGAAGGAGTAGAAGAAGAAGAAGAAGAAGACTACACTTCATATAACATTAATGAATATGAAGACAGTGACGAAGAAAAAGAGACAGAGTTGGCTACAGCAGTTGATGCAATAGAGAGTAACTTTGAGCCAGAAGTTAGCATTGCACAGCTACACTCTGAAGCAGAATTGCCTCTCATTACATCTCCAAGGGAAGGAAATGTGAGAATAAGTGACGCAAAACTGCTGAAGTGCCGACCAGCTGCGGGTAAGGCCCATACCATTGGTTATCATAGTTTGACAAGAGTGATAGTTAATGACCAAGACGCAGAAGCACTTTTAGACAGTGGTGCATCTTGTTCAGTGGTGGGGAGCCAATATCTCACCACTTTATTACCAGACTGGAAATCGAGAATGGTTCCCTGTGAAAATAACATAAAATTCACAGGGTGTGGCGGAAGTTTATTTCCTTTAGGTGTAATTTCTTTGAAACTTGTTTTTCCGCATCCGCAAGAATCAGTCAGAATTGATGCTGAATTTGTAGTTATGGAAAACTCGCATACCAAATATCTCATAATAGGAGATGAGTTTTTATCCATGTATGGAATAGACATTTTTCATAGTAAAGATAAATACTTCACATTTGGAAATGATGTGAAGAAAAAGAAGTTTGGACTTCCAATTCAAAGACCAAAGTTGACAGGACTTGTCTTTAAAAAACAAGAAGACGTAGGAACTCCGCAAGATGAGAAAATTCCTGCAATTGAACCGGTTAATGCAACTCCACCATTAATGGAGAGTATCAAGGAAGCCAAGTTTAGTCCCAAGCTCACAGAGAAACAACATGAACAAATTGTCAGATTGATTGCCAAATTCAAAGACCAATTTGGGTTAGGCGATAGCCCACTAGGAACAATTGACAAACACAAAGTGAGTATTCAATTGAGTATTGAAAAACCATACCCACCTATATTGCGGAAAGCAGCTTATCCAGCTAGTCCTAGGAATAGAGTGGAGATTGAGAAACATCTTGATGAATTATTAAAACTCGGTGTAATTCGTAAAGTTGGAGAATCAGAGGAAGTAGACATTACTACACCGGTAATCATTGCATGGCACAATGGAAAGTCTAGACTGTGTGGTGACTTCAGAGCACTGAACACATATACATTACCTGATAGATACCCCTTACCAAGATGTGACCATGTGCTGATCAATCTTGGTAAGGCAGTATACATTACAACTATGGATGTATTCAAAGGTTTCCATCAAAATGTTATAGACGAGGCATGCAGAAAATTTTTAAGAATTATCTGCCATATGGGTATCTTTGAATATCTGAAGATGCCCTTTGGAATCAAGAATGCACCAGCTTTCTTTCAAAGGATGATGGATATAGAATTCAGCAAAGAACTGCGAGAAGGGTGGTTAAAAATCTTCATTGATGATATTATCATATTCCATGATAACTGGGAGGACCATGTCAAAGCTATTGAAAAAGTTTTGATTAAAGTCAAGGCTATGGGGATGACAATTTCTTTGAAGAAAAGCAATTTTGGTTTCCATGAAGTCCGAGCACTAGGACATTTAGTATCCGGACTATGGATTGCAATTGACCAAAATAAGACAGCAGCAGTGCTGCAAAAACCTCCACCACAAGGCATCAAAGACATGCAAAGTTTCTTGGGGTTTGCCAGCTATTATAGAAATTTTTTAGAAAATTATGGTAAAGTTGCAAATTGCCTATATAAATTGTTTGCCAAAGGTGTTTCATTTGAAATGACCGCTGAAAGAATTCACGCATGGAAAAAGATACGAAATATGATTACCACAGCACCAGTTTTATTGCAACCGGATTTCACTAAACCGTTCAAATTGTATGTTGACGCATCATTTGAAGGTCTAGGTGCTGCATTACATCAAGTACAAATTATTGATGGTAAATCCAGGGAAGGCCCAGTTGTATTCATATCCAGGCATCTCAAAGACAGTGAAACCAGATATGGTTCACCACAATTAGAAGCACTCGCATTGGTTTGGGCATTGGAGAAGTTACACTACTACTTAGATGGCGTGTACTTTGAAGTGATTACTGATTGTACAGGAGTGAGATCTTTGATGAACATCAAAACTCCAAATAGACACATGTTAAGATGGATGTTGGCTATTCAAGAATATCGTCCATACATGACTATTACACATAGACCAGGTAAAATGCATAACAATGCAGATGGTCTCAGCAGAATGGCTTTGCCAAATGATAGCAGTAATCCTGCGTGGGATCCAGAAGACGCAGAGATAGACATCCCCGTCATGGGATTAAGTTTGGCAGAACTCAGCACTGAATTCTTTGAAGAAATCAAAGAGAGCTATAATACTAACGTGAATACAACTAAGTTAGTATCAATGATGTCCAAAGACAAAGCTAATTTAAGTCTAGCAAGTAGTCTTGAGTCACCATGGAAAGAATTGTATGCAGAAGGGAAATTCTCATTACAATCCGGACTTTTATACTTCAGAGAGAAGCATAGCTCGGTAGTTGTTCTTGTGTCAGAAAAACACATTGAACAAATATTGCAGACATGTCATGATGAATTTCTATCTGGACATATGGGAGTAGATCGGACTCTGGAAAGAGTGAGTACCACAGCTTGGTGGTTTCAGTGGAAATTAGACACTGAGAAATATGTCAGTAGCTGTGACAGATGCCAAAAAGCAAACAAAGCTACAGGAAAAAGATATGGTCTCCTACAGAGTATTGAGAAACCTACATATCCTTGGCAAGTCATTAACATGGACTTTGTCACAGCATTGCCACCAGGTGGCAGAGACAATTACAATTCCGCTTTAGTTGTTGTAGACCGATTTTCAAGACGAGTAAGATTTTTGCCGTGCTACAAAGAATCTTCAGCAATGGATATTGCTTTACTCTTCTGGGAAAGACTGATCAGTGATGTAGGTTTACCGAGGGTAATAATCAGTGACAGAGATCCTAAATTCACGTCTGAATTTTGGAAAAGCTTATTTGAAATCATGGGGACAAAATTAGCTTTCTCCACAGCATACCACCCCCAAACAGATGGCTTAGCGGAAAGATGCATTCAAACATTTGAAGAAATGTTGCGGAAATTCTGTGCCTTTGGCCTTGAATTCAAGGATAAAGATGGGTATACGCATGACTGGACAACCTTGTTACCGGCTTTAGAAATTGCTTACAACACCAGTGTTCACAGTTCTACCAACAAAACACCCTTTGAGATAGAAAGAGGTTTTTGCCCTAGGTTACCTAAAGATAAATTTAAGAGTAGAGATGTAGAAATCCACCCAACTTCTTTAAGTTTTGCCACAATGATAAGTAAAGCAAGAGAATTTGCAAATCAATGCATCAAAGAAGCGGAAGAGTACAATAAGGAAAGGTGGGATAAAACTCATAAGGAGCCAAACTTCAAAGTTGGAGATCAAGTCCTGTTGTCAACAGTGAATTTCAACAACATACAAGGGCCAAAAAAATTGAGAGACCCTTTTGTTGGACCTTTTGTCATCTCCAAACTTGTAGGACCCAATGCAGTGGAACTTATATTACATGGAGAACTAGAAAGAAAGCATCCGGTCTTTCCAGTATCATTGATAAAGAAGTACAATGATCCAACACAAGATAAGTTTCCCAGAAAGACAAAAGTGGTAGTTCCACCCTTTGAGCCGGAAAAAGAAAAGCAGTTTCTTAAAATTCTTCGAGAGAAAAGAGTGAAGAATAAGGACAACAAAGATGAAGTCTTATACCTGGTAAGGTACAAGAATCATGGAGCAGACTCTGATGAATGGTTACCAGCGGATAAAGTCCCTAACTCCAAAGTAAACCTTAGAGCCTTTAGAGCAGCAAAGAGAGATCACACTTCATGAAAGTGGTATGACCTCCTTTGGTGGTGGGGAATGTCAGCCCCGAGCCCTATTACTAGTACCAAAGGGCTGCCCAAATAACTATAAAATAACAAAAATAATAATTACAACTCATGGCTCAGTTTCAAGAGCCAAGTACGTATGTAATTACATATAGTTACATATGAAATTACATATGTACATACATGTAGATGTAACCTTTTGGTTATATTATGTAAGATTGCCTTTCACAAGTGCGTATCACAGGAGTAACACAAGAGTTACACCCGTGCGTAATCAGATAATAATTAAATAATTAAAATTCATGATTACATACGTCAAATGAGTATGTAATCAAACCACAAGTTGTACATAAAGGATTCTCAGGGTTTTGAGTATATAAAGAGCTCTCTGACCCGCCAGGAAAATCCATTATCATCATTACATATCATCAAATTATCAGTAAACATCATCAATCAGATAAATAAGAGTCCTTGTCCTCTTTCATTAGACATTGTATATTTCTCTAATTGATCATTGCTTTTGTTATTTGTAGAAGTTCTTTTGAAGACTTCTTCCAGGAGGTGATCCTTGCAGTACTGCTCAAGTTATTAAGGGAATTCAATAACTTGAGAAACTCTAAATTCACGGGAGTTCCTCTGTGTTCAGAGTTTAAAGAACTTTAAATATCACTAGGTGATATTTCCCTTGATTAGCAAACTCTAGAGTAGAGTGTTGTTAGCTTGGGCACGAAACTAGACTGTAGTTTCTACTCTTATTCCTGCTAGAAGACTCCTGTCTTGCATTAATTCCCGGATTGATATCCAAAACCCTCTGTTAAGAGGTCATCTAACTGAAGTCAGTGCGGATTTGATCCCACTGCTTCTTAACAAACCTTGTTTTGAAACTTAAAACAAGGTTCTCACGCGCTTAATAAACTTAGTTTATTATTCCACCCTTTTTCTTTAGTGGTTTACTTGAGTGAAGGTTTGTACAGCGACGATTCCGATGAGGAATGGGATATTGATTCAGAAAATGTTGAACCTGAAAAGGTACTTGACCCTATAGTTTCTTGAGCAATTCATGCTAGATCATGTGCCGAGTAAAGCGAAGCTGATTTATGATGACAGGATGCCAGGTTCAAAGCAACCATTCATGTCGCAGACACCTCGTCAGTATGGCTCTACATATGCTTATACTTTCTTGAAGAATACTCATCTTAAAATTATAGACGACGGACTTATCGTGCCTTTATCGAGTACTCGATTTGCGGGTGAGTAAAGATCATCTTTACAACGGAAACCATCATTATGAACACTGCCGTGTTTCAGCTTGCAAGTCTGATCTTTCTTCATCACTTTAGAGCACTGTATTTCGCACCCCTGCGGTCTGCATACAAGCAACACTGTATCACGCGGCTTGTAACGGCGAATCTTGGTCAACAAAAACACCCTATTCCTTGGCCTGAGTGGGCCGAAGCTCGTAGCACCCCTCATACCACTGTACCTGGTTTCAAGACTCTCTCAAGCCCAAAAAGCCTGTACCGCCTAGCCGATAGTGAGTAAATCTAATTTTATATCTGGGGCCTGACACCATGGCAATTGGAGGAACTCTGACTTAGATTCTTGTGATTGTGTCAAGTGTTGATCATTCCTCAACTAAAAGGCATATGTCACCAACAAATTGTTGACTCTCTAGATGCAATGAATGTAATCACCGAGATTCAGAGCTCAGTCTTCCAGCAACACGAGGAACTGCGTGTGGAGGCCTATAAAGTGATGCGTAGAAACTGGCGATCATATCGTTGTGCGGTGATCGCTCCTTTCATCACGAACCTGTCACCAGAGGAATCAATTCTTGTTTTTAATCACATACTCAAGGATCTTACTCCCTAGAATTGTCTTCATCAACTTACTTTTGGTGGAATCTGGATTCTGAGTGGTATACTGACATGTGCTTTCTAGATGAGCAAAACGGGCATGTATTTATGTTTCTAGCAGAACAGAACCAGTATGTATCTTGTTATATCATGTCGTTCATTGTCAATTATCACACTTCAGCTTTGTATTGTTTATGTCACATGAGAAGACAAATGTGACCATAACTTCCAATATGTGATCAGGTATTTCTAATCAGGTGTACATAGATGTATAGCATTACTTCTTCTCATTAGGCCTCACAGGCTCAGCTCTGACAAAGACTGCCTTGTTTTTTTGCTGTATGTGCTATCTTGAACGATAACAGTTATTCAAGACTATGACTATCATATCAGAGGTACACTGACTGCTAGGAAATGGTATCTACTGTCAGTTTCATGGATGGAGTCCTATGTGAAAGCTGGACTCTGTTATGTTGGCAGTGTCTGTTGATTCAAGGTTGTAAGTAAGTGTAAGATCCAATCATGTTTGATTTCCAATTGATTTTTATTGTTGTTGCATCTGAAAAAGTCCTCAAACAAAATCTTCGGGATTGCACCCCTTGGTTGGGGTCCTAGTCTCTAGACAATCTTAAACCAGACAGTCTGTGACATTTTGTCCCAAAAAGCATCCAATTGGCTCTTTCAAAAAAATCTCCTTATGGTGTAGCTTCCAGAGGCTTCACTTTGAAGATTACATGCATGTCTGTAAAGAGGAAAGTCTTTTTTCCCTTTCTTGTTGACGTTGTCTGCATTGCTTACAGTGCCTTTGTTTGTCTCTGTACATATGACATGGGGCTTGTACTCTATTCCCCATTGTCTTTGCTGAAGCTGTGTGATATGTATCTCTACAAGTGGATATCCAAAAAGTGCCTTTCATGTTTCATTAAGTGCTCACTGGGTTGCTCTTAGAGAGAGGACCTCTTGTCTTCTTGAGGTGATACGGATGCTTCTGCCAGGGAAGACCTGCCTAAGGCTACGCGCCAGTGGCGCCCAAGCGCGCCCATTTCTCAAAAAACATGCCTAGGTGTGCCTTTCTTTTCAAGGGCTGCGTCCCCATCCTGAGCTTCTGGGGGATTCTTCACAAGTTTCCAATATGTACTGGGATTGAAATCCTTTGTCTTGACATAAAGGGTGTCTGAAAGATTTCATGGGCTCATACAAATTCAACGCTTGTGTTTTTAATCACTCTTTGATAGAAGAGTCAAATTCCCAATGTTACTAAATTTATTTTTGTTTCCTTATCCCTTTTGATCCCTGCTTCTGCGGCTTACTTTACTACAATAACGGTGTCACAAAATCTATTGAACTTGGCTCAACTACTGCAAAGCTTTGCGCTCCAAATCTTCTGAAACCAACACTCAGAAACTTTGACACATACACAATCATTTCAGTCATGGCGGCTAAGCTCGGCAGCCGTACGGTGACTGTGAGTAGAGATTCGACCCAATTGACTGATTGTATTCAGTACTGATCTCTCAATCTGTGCTTTCTGTTTTGGAATTAATTTTGCCTCCCAATGTTACTATTCACACAATGACTTTGGAGGAGGAGCACTGTCTACATGACCCACATTATTGCCCCACGGAGCATATGTGTCATACGGAATGCCCGCATGAATTTTGACTGCACAAACAAAGAACCAAAACAGTAGTAGAAACATCTTTGACGGGACAATCATTGACATCAAGTGATCAACAAGAACTGGATGTGGACAAATTGATTGTCTATTTGAGCAGTTTGGTGTACAAAATGTATGCCAACTGGACCATGACATGGGAGGTGAGCTAAAGCCACTACCAGATTACTTAATTTTGTCATTGACATTGCATTTTCCCGTGCAAATTGGTATTATAACATGTGAGCACCACTTAGTTTGGAATCCAGGCCAAGGGGGGATCACAGGTCATTAGCAAGGCTACTATCACCCAATGCAGTAATTCTGCCAAGTGGAAGACCATCAGTATTGGCAAAGTGATGGACGCACAAAAAATCCTGCACCTGGAATCCTTTTCTAATGTAAGTATGCATGCACACCTAGAAATCAAGCCAGGTCTGAATCCTTCCCACACCTTGTAAATATAGGACACACTGTATTTTGCAATAACATGGTCTCTTCAAGAGCAATCTCCCCTGTTGGAAAGTCAATGCAAGTTAAATGTTTTGAAAAAAGCCATGACGCAAATGCAGACCACCATGTTTGAAACTGTGAACTGTCCCTTGATTGACATCACTCATTTGGTATTCAATACACAGCGGCACTATCAAACATTTATATGTTCAAAGCCATATACTCACACAGTTTGAATATTTTCAAAGATGTGAGTCCACTTTTTTATTTCATGCCGCATATCACAGCTTAGCTGTCTTACTGATTGTGAGCATACCCAGGCCACTCAGAGGAATATTCTGAGACTCAAAACACAGATCAAAAAAAATTCAGAGCAATGAGATAGAGGAACCTAGTACAGGCACATACTCGGATGATTCCAATGACGGATGGGATAGTGATCCAGGCAATGATGAACCCAAAAAGGTGCTTATACATGCATCTCAAAGCTCTCTCTGATAGCTTATTTGTCAAGCAAAGTAAAATTGAATTGTGACAACAGGATTCTACATTCAAAGCGACCATTCAAATCACAGGGACCTCATCAGTGCAATTCTCTTGGTAAATGCTTGCTCTAAGGATACTTATTCACTGATATTGTAGCCAAAGAGCATACCAAGCATTTATTGATTATGCAATCTGTGGGTTTGTGATGATGACTTCAAAAAAACTGCCACCCTTCAGCCTGAAAATACCTTTTTTTAACAAATCCAGTGCACTGTATTTTGCACCCCTACGGTCTGCATACCAACATTACCTAGTACAATATGGGCAATACCACACACAGCACCTTATTCCTTGGCCTGAGTGGGCCAAATCTCACTGTGCCCCTTGTACCATTGTTCCAGGTTTCAAATCCCTGACAAGCCCAAAAAGTCTTTACCGCCTGGCTGATAGTAAGTCAATCTCAACATCATATGCTTTGTCTCATGTGGGCTAAATGGAAGATCTCTGATCCACACTCTTCTGATGAACTCAAGTGTTGATCATTCCTGAACTCAACGCTATATGTCACAAGCAAATCATTGATTCCCTAGAAGGGTATGTAGTCTCTGAGATCAAGAGTTCAGTTTTCAAGCAATACAAGGAACTGCGTGTGGAAGCATATAAACTGATGCACAAAAACTGGAAGTCATATTGGGGCCCTGAGATTTTTCTTTCAATCACAAATCTTTCTCAACAGGAGGCATTACTCTTTTTTGAGCACATACTTAGGGGTCTTGCTCCTTAAACATTTTTTCATCAACTCATCTATTTTGAATCCTTGTTTCAGGAAAACAGTTTAACTTGATTAGCTTTCTAGCTGAAGAGGATTTGTATGGGGGTATCCACACCAGTTCTTCTTTGATAATTACCACATACCACTCTCAACACCGCAAGCGCTACGCAACGCAATGGATTTTGACCTATTTCCATTGTGTTGCGCATTTGGCGCATTATTACGCTACACAACCACTCCACAATGGGGTGTTTTTTTCTACCTCGCTGTTGCGGAAAATGTGCAATATTGCCCTATTTCCGCAATATTTGCCCTAAATAACCGTCAAAAACCGACCGCAATTGCGGTGCGGGTTTCTGAGCAACAGGTTTTTTGAACCCAGATTGCGGAGCGCCAGCACCGCACCACTGTAAACATCATTCAACTTCCCCAATTTGGCAGAGGAAAATGATTAATAGTACAGTTTTTCATAAAAGAATCTAATACTGCACACCTGGGCCATTTCACCCACACTACATATGTGCAGCAAGCTAAGTCAATAGTTGTCTATCATGTACATACAGGTCTGCTCAGTTTTTTGCCCATCAGAATAAATAAATCACATGTTATACCACATGTAACTTTTTCGACTTTGAAATTTTTTTCCCAAAAATTCACTACATATAATTCTGTAGCTGCTCAGGCAATATTGTTGAAGCTATGTCTTAGTAACAGAAAGTGTGTTACATGCAGTTGAGTTGATGAGATCACACCAAAACATTGAGTCAGTGTATGTAGTCAATCTTTTGGAAGCTTTTTTCAATCTGAAAGAAGTTACAGCATGTATTACATATGAATAACTTGTCCTGATGAGCAGATAACTGAGCAGAACTGTATGTACATGATAACCACATATTCACTGAGCCTGCTACACATATGTAGTGTGGGTGTTATGGCTCAGGTGTGGAGTGATAGACCATTTTATGACAAATCATACTCCCAATCATTTTTCCCTGCCCACTTGGGGAACCCGAATAATGTCTGCAGTGCACTATATTGTGTTGCTATTGCGGCGCCCAAAAGCGCTACACAACCACACTGCAACCGCAACATAGTGTGGTGCTCTTGCGGTATTGCCACTCTGTGCTGTTGATACCAAGGAAGCAAATTCAAGTATCATGTCCAACAGGGGTTCAGGTAAATTTAATCAAGTAGACATAGATCATGATGTGTAGTATTCCTATTTCTCATCATGCAAGACACCTTTGACCAACAATCAGTGTCACTATCTTGTTTTTTGATTCATGTGTTCTCTTGATCTACGTTCATCAAGCAATGTATACAAGAGGCCCACTTCCAATTGAATCATTTGGGTTGAAAAATGTGAGGCATTGTTGGATGGAAATCCTTGGATCGACCTTGTCCAAGTTTTCTCTCCAATGTCTTGTTATTTGCAGAAAGATACCTCAGATCATAACCTAGGAAAGATTTTGTCTGAGGTTTAAAATTCAATGACACCTAGAAATTTTCAATCTGAGTTAAATATTCTGGCAGTGCCCTCTTGAAGGAGCACTCTATTCCAGGACATATCTTACACCACAATTGTCATTGATGATAGACTCCTATTTCTGAGGACACCTGGAAGCATTAAATTATTCTGTTGAAATTTGAC